CACTTCCCCTTGGAACAAGAACCCAGGGCATCTGGCTCCCAGCTCACTGAGCTCTGCCCTACACCAAGCTGCCTCTTGTCACATACTACTGGCTGAGGCAGAGAAGCAGCAGCCGTTGGAAAAGCACTGAAAACAACAGCAGCTCTATCTTTACGGTCTTTTCGTAACGTTGTCTGAGACAAGAAAAACAACATAGCTTAAGAAATGTGAAATATGTTCAGCTAAGTGTGTGAAGATTTCAGAAAACCGACGAGATAGGAGCGTGAGAACAGACGCCACTTGCATAGCAATGACATGCTGCACGCTGAACGCTGGCCTAGCGACCTCATTCCAGTACACATCACAACAGATGGCACAATGATAGCAGCTAACGTTTCCTGGCAGTGTTCATGTCCTAGCTGCCACACCAAACTCTACTTACCTTAACCTCGTTTAGACTTTGACACGTGAATGAAGTACGCACTGTGATCCCCATTTTACAGATGAGAGCACTGAGGTCCAGAAACCTTAAGCATTCTGCCCAAGATCCCTAGACAGTAAGCGATGGCTGCCAGTTTTGAACTTGTGTCTGAATCCAAGATCAACTATTAGATGATGGTTTCTCAGTGGATGGCAGTCCCCAGTGACTGCAGCCAGAAAGCCATGTGTCTTCATGGACTTAACACACTTCCTCAATGTATGCCCTCTGTCAACCAGTGAGTTACATCTGCTGTGCTTAACTGCCACACACAACCTTAGCTTCAAAATGACTGCAACTCTCCTATTCCGGTTTTCTGCTTCCTGTCTGAGCCTCTTCAATACATAGATTACACGGGCCCCTGGAGGAGTCTGCTCTGAAGTATCTGCTTCTGTAACCTCTCTCCTTAAGAGCTTTCAATAACTCCCCATGGTTCACCGCAGTGGCCTGCTCGCTGACGCAGGAGAATCCCCCGAGGAGCTAATTACCAACACTGAGACGTGATCCCACCGCACGTAGCCCACACTTCTCCGAATCTGAGCAACAGGTGAGACCAAAGGAGCCGTAGTTTTATTAAAAGCCTAAGTGATCTTCTTAGGCAGGCGCTGAAACCACTTGGCCCACTGGATACAAATTCAAAACACTGGCTTGGCATTCAAGGTCAATGTCTGGCTTCTTATCTCACCGCTTCCACGAGCCTTTTGATATGACCTTCCAGCTGGACCGTCCTGTTTCACTTCTCCAGGCGGACCCCGCTGGTTCACGCCCCCGTGTCTTTGCTTACACTGCCAGTCCCTCCGACTGGAATGACCTCGCCTTGTCTCCGACCATCTGTCTCCCCTGCCGCGTCTCATGATTCAGTTCTCGGCCCAATGGGCCATCACCTACCCCGTGAGGCCCTTCTTGACTCTGCATCGCCAGGCAGAATACGATCAGGCCCCCGAATGTGAAGTCTTCTCTCTGAGCACCCATAATGGTTTATATTGTGAATAACCCACGTATGTGTCTGCTTCCCACCACTCGCGCGGCCTTCGCCCACGAATTCCTGGTGTCTAGCTGATATGCTGCCTGAGTATCTCCTACTGAATTCTTTCTCTCCTCTTCCACTTACCTTTAAGCCATACAACGAAGTTAGAAAACAGCCATGTTGCCTTTCAAACAGCATCTTAATTTGAAGGCCAAGATGAACCCTAAGCAACTTTCAAGTTGTAATCAGGACACTGCTGAACTACATCACATAAATGAAAACCTCCCTTCAAAATATACCAAAGATTTTACTGTACCCATTTGGGCTCGGTCCCTCTCACTTCCTGCCCGTGAATTCTTCCTCCTACCTAACCCACATCCCTCAGATTCTTTTCTCCTTGTCCTCAGCAGAAACAAAGAACTGCCTGACATCCTCTTACCTTGGCCTACATGGAGTTGAAGAAAATGTAATCTAGGATAAAACCCGAGAAGGAAAATGTCATACTTGGCACCTTCTGAACTAGGTAAAAGTCGGGTGGCGACGAGCTGGTGCGCTGTCGGTGTTAGCTAAATATTAATCGCTCGACTCGATGAGCAAGCTCTCTCCATTGTGCAAAGTGAGCGTTGGGTCCGTGGCACCGTCCTTCCTAGTTTCCTTCTGCCATTGAAGTGCAGAGGCGAGCTGCAGCCGGCCAGAGCCTACTTCCCCTTACTCTTGGCTACTGTCAACTTGCCCCGACTGTTGCAGCGCTGGAATCTGCCTCGCTGTACTAGACCGTGAGTCGGGAGCCTGAGGTTCCGTGATCAGTTCTGACACTAACTGGCGGCATGACCTGTGGGGACGTGACCCCCTGCCCCCTGCTTTCCTCATCTCTATCAAACTTTTACTGCACAGCTCTTCGGGCACATAAAGCACATTTGCATGCATTTATCTCTTGGGATCGGCATAACCATTCTGTGAGGCAAACGGGGGGTTCCAGGGAGGTTTGGGGAGGTTAAGTAGCTTCTCTAGAGCAGAACAGCCACGAAGTAGCAAAGCTGTAATATGAACTCTAGTTTTAATTCCTAATCCAGCACTCTTTCTAATAAACCAAGCTGTCTTCTGGTATCTATAAAACAAGGGGGTTGGCTTAGGGATCTTTAACAACTATTGTTATGTACAGAATTTCATCAGTTTAAAAATACCTTCGCATTCATTGTTATCCATTCCGTCAAGAAAAATGTAATCAGTAAGTACCATAACCAGGCACTACTAGACTAGAGATGCAATGAATGATGAACGAGTCAGACGAAGATGCCGATTGCCTTATGGAGGCTTCTATTTTGAGGGAGGTGTACGAAGCAAACATACAGAGTCAAAAAATGATTTTAGATACCGATAAGTACAGCAGGGGAAGGGGATACAGAGTGACTGAGAAATATGTCATTTAAGCTCCCCAACGCCCCTGCCATGTAGAGATTTGCATTAACCCCACTTAGCCTTCAAAACAAGACATGGGTGTTTTTGTCCACTTATCTCTATCCTTTCCTTGAAAGTAGCAGGAAATCCATTTTGTTCACTGTTCTATCCCCAGTCCCTAGCGCACGGTTTGGCTAATGAGTGTCTGTTAAATACGTATTGGATCTACAGATGAATGAGTGAATGAATGAATGAATGAACGAACCAATGAGAAAACAAATGAACACAGCTTGCAGAACAGCTGGGTCAGTGTGTTCCTGGCAAAGGGAGCTAGAGTACCCTCCACTCTCCCCCAAAAGCAAACATCGGCCGCTTGCTCCTAGGAGCAAACAGGCATGGAGAAGAGACAGGTGGGAGCTGGCTTCTGAGGGGGAGGACGGGGGAAATATCACACTACAAGAAGCATAACCCCGCCAGTGCAAAGTAAGATGCCCCCCTCTAAGAAGTCGGTAAGAGAGGACTGCATGTGAGTTTTTTCTCCTCTCAGCCCTGGAAAGCTATTCTTTGCACTTGTTATGCAACGAAGAAATAGTGATCTGAAATGTGCTGGTAGCTGGCTTTCTGTGCAATTTCAAGGCCGAAATGGACTACATTCTATCCAATGACGTTTAGAGTCTGGGGACCTTTTACGGGGGCTAAGTCGTGCTAGACCGCCTCGGGCCCTGTGCTTCCCTTTCATTCAATGTTCTAGTCACAATGTGCCTAGATGTTTGCGCCATATGCATATAAAAACAGTGCTCTCGGAACACCAGCAAGTGACTTAGATGGAGAGAGGGAAAAATCCAAGCGGAAAGGAAGGAAGGAAGATAACAGTTAGCACTTGCCACATGCCAGCACTGTGATACTGATGGCCGCGCTTGCTGAGCAACTATAGCTTCCCATCTATGAAATGAGGATATTCACAGTATCTATTTACCGGGCTATTTTGTGAACTAAGTGAGCTAATCCACGTCAGGTGTTCTGCAGTGCCTGGCATGTAATATGCGCTGAATAATAAAATAAGCCATTACCGCCGCCATCATCATGATGATCACCATTACTTATCTGCAGTGTATGTTTTAGGTGCTTTCATATCAATTTTCATCATTTACTGTTTCCACAACATTGCATGGTAGAGATGACAGAGGAGAAAACCGAAGCACCATGAGACATAGTAACAACGAGCAGCTAGATCCATTCACTGAATCACACAAGGCCAAAACACAGCCTGGCAAACTAACAACTTGCCACAGATATTCGGAAATCCCGATAGATTTATACTAATTCCGTCTGCAGCTCGGTGCCAGAAGCAAATGTAGTTATATCTTGAAACTCCACTTTTATTCCTTAATAAGCTAGGGGTGGAGGCTAAAAGCTAAACAAACAAACAAAAACCATTAAAGATACTATTTGGGATTTGACAGGGAAAAAGGCCTACTTGTATAAAAGTATAAATCAAAATGGACAGTTTTAACCTAAGAGGTGCTAATGCTCATTTATGCTAATGGAATAAGCACATTCTCTACAATGAGCCCCTTGACCATGCTACATGACAGAACTGCCATGTTCTGTATTTGCGACAGGTTATTGTATTTATCAGTCTTTACACTCATTCACAAGGTGGCAACTGAATCCTTCTATGGGCCAGGGACACAGGAAGGCACAGGCAGTAGACCCTGTCTCTCAAGGCCATCACAGGCAAACGGTGATTAAAATGGCATTTGAAAGAAAAATGGAGAATATCGAGTGGTAAAAACACGGGGGATGGCACAGCTGTTTTAACAGCTTTATTGAGATGTAATTTACACACCATGAAGTTCACCCAAAGTATGAGTCAATGTTCTTTTTAACATATTTATAGAGTTGTGCAGCTATCGCCGTTATATAATTTTAGGATATCTTCATCGCCCCCAAATAAAACCGCGTACCCATTAGCGGTCAGTCCCCAAGGTCCTGTGAACCTTATCTACTGTCTGGATGGACTGGCCTAGTCTGCACGTTTCGTATAAATGGAATCATACACTATGTGGCCTTTCGTGAGTGGCTTCCTTCACTTAGCATACTATTTGCGAGGTCCAACCGTGTTATAGCAAGCGTTAGTACTTTATGCCTTTCTACGGATGAGTAACACCGCATTACGTGGATTTTGGATCTTGCCCCACATTCTGCCACGGACAAGTATCTCAGAGGTTCCGTCCGGTCGTTCTTCAGACGGTGCAGCTTTGGGCGCAGTTTTCCACCGCACTGAAGGCGAGCCTGGCTTCCTAGGAGTTGCAGCGGCATGTTGTTCAGATGACGTCGGGTCAGAGATTGTGCTGGAGCGTCCTCAGCCTTATGCCTTCTGCAGTTTACTGATGCATCTGCTTGCGGCATGAGGAATGCCTTAGCCTGCCCCGCACCGCGCTCTCCCTTCCCCTTGGTGTGTGCGGCATAGCACGGCGTACACGACTGCAGACTCCCACGATGCCCCTTCCTGCTGTTTCTTTGCCTGACTCTGGTGTCCTTGTGGTTGCCCCTGGGTGTTGCTCGTCGCCGCTAGCACGATAGGGCCTAGTAACTGCCAACCTTCAGGACCTCCACTGGTTTTGACAATGCTCTTAGGTCTCGACTTCTCCATGCTCTGCTCCAGTAACGTCAGTCCTGCGAAGCTCTCCATCCTAATGGCCTGCTTTCCCCATGTGGCGAAACCTCCAAATCAGTGCAGTGCATTCTGGGGCCTGGGAGAGTGACCCGCTTCTCTCGGAGTGACCGTTCTGCTCTACAAGGGGACCCTGTTGGGTTACGGTAGCCCCTAGTCCTTTCGCAGTAAGGAACGTTCACCCTGCGTATGAGCTGGGGCGAGCACAATCAGTGCTCAAGTATTCTCGGCTTAGAACTGCTGGAGCAGAGCCCCCGTGAGTAGAAACTGGGTGGCAGGAGAGATCTTGAGTCCTCTCGGCTGTGCCTGCCCCTCCGGGTGTGAAACTACCCCCCTGGAGTAGGAGTGGGGACACAGGGATCCCTTACCTCCTCGGCCACACCTGCCGGAAAAACAGCTGCAATCACACGGAGCTGTTCTTCTTACCGAGATTTAATAGAGTTTCTTGAATTAATGTTTCTCTCTTTGCTGTATGCCCTTAGGACAACTTCCTACCCATAGGAATGCTTAGTCCTAGAGCAGAAAGATTGGAAAAGGCTTCACAGAAGTGACAGAAATAATGCTTATTTAAAATTGGTTTGGTCAGGCCAGCGTATGAGCGAGAAGAAAGTTGCCCCCGAGAGGGAAACAGCATGTACAAAGGGAAGTGTGAATAAGGCTGGAAGTCCCACATAGATGCTAGAGGTCAAGTGGCTGCAGCGAGTAAGCCAAAGAAAGCAGCTTGGACCTGATCCTACAGGCAATGAGGAACCACAAGAGGCCTTTAGAAGGGAGATGATCTGGGCAGATCTGCATTCAAGACAGGCCACGCTGGCTAAGGTCCCAAACAACTTCAAAGGAATTAGATTTAATCCCAGGCTTTGCCAAAGCCAGGGAAAGGAAGGTGAGAACGCGCTTAGCAGCCAAGCCCATGCTTTTCAGTTCTCATCTCTATCAGGACAAGTCTACTTAATTTCTATGAAAATAAATCCACATTTCACACTCCTAACTAAAATCATTAAGGAAGGAAAACAAACAAACAAGCAAACAGAAAGCTCCTTCGGTTAGAATAGTCACACATTGGTTCAACTAAATATCTAACACGTATACGATTTCTGTTTAACAGAACATAATGTTGATATTTCTCTAAGTAAAAATTAATCTGAAAAGTAAAAAAATGAATCTCTGCTTTAAAACGTGTTGTGTACTTTGCTTAAAGATGCTTCTTTTAAATAAAAAAGCTCTTTTTATGAAACAATCCGGTTAAACAGAATGATCACTAGAATAGGAATCAGGAGCCCAGAGTTCAAGTCCGTTCAAGTTCCCGCAGGAACTTTAGCATCCATTCCTTGTTGGGACTGAATTTCTTTTCCTTCACAGAGAAGAATTCAAAAGATATGAGGAGAGAAATATTGAGCTGTGCAACATCTAAGATCCTTCTGATCACTTACATCCATAACTGAGCCTTTTGGCAAAAATACTCCCAGTACATAATTTCAATCAAACCCGCCTAGGAAGACTTTCGAAGCATGACCTCCAAACTCAGAAGCCATAAAGGAAAAGGAAGATTAACTACATAATTCAAGACTGCTAGACAGACAATCATATAAACAAAGCTGAAAGATAAACTGGGAAAACGATTTGTAGCACACATAACAAAGAGCCAAATTCCTTCATATACAAAGAGCTCCATAAATCAATAAGAAACAGATGGAAAGCCAAAAAACAACAAACGAACAAAAGCCAAGAACAGGCAGTTCACATGGAAAGAACTATAAATGGCCAATAAAAATGTGAAAAGATGCTCATGCTCACTCATAATTAAAGAGAGGAAACTTAATGATAAACTATTTTTTAACTACCATACTCGCAAAGATTAAAAAGTTTAATATCTAATATTTGCAGGGTCTTTTAGGGGGGCAGGGAAAGGGGTAACACCTATCAGCAGTCAAAATCCATACTTTTTTTCATCCGACTACTTAACAACTAAGAATTTATATTTGCAAAAGTAGGCTAATAAAAAACTACAACAATTTTAACAATTGTTATGTTTTCTATGTGCCTGGCACTTAATGTATAAATACTAAAGTTTTTAACACGTAGTGTTAAGTCATTAAATCCTCATAATAGTGCTTCGGAATAGACATCTCAATTTTTTCACAGGAAGACACCAAGGAGTAGAGAAAGTAAGGCGCTCGCTCAAGATCATACAATACGGCACCACATTTACTGCCTCTTTAGGACGTTAATTGCAAGACTACTTTCAATATCACAGAAGTTAGGAAAAAACAAAATAGCCACCAGTATTGGGAAGTGACAAAATCGATTACAATACGATAGTGTGAAGCCTTCCAGAAAATTAGGAAATAGATAGATATGAAAAAGTGTATAAGATCCGTTACGTAAAGAAATCAATTTGCAGAACGGTAACTGTAGCATGATAGCATTTGTGAAAAATATAAACGTAATTACATAAACGTTTTATATGCACAGAAAATCTCTGAAATTGTAGACGAGAAACTGGTCACCATAAGAATGTATTACTTTTATTCATTTAAAACATAATAAAAAAACATCAAGCCAATTTTAAGCATTCTACCAAAAGTTCCTATTTGCTGCTTTTCCTTCCATCAGAAGAGGTATCTTTGAGAAACTAATTAATGTGACGTATGAAATGCTCTGATACTTAGCTGCAATTCCACTGGCTTCTCTTTTTGGCCTCCCGGACCCCAGGTCCAGGCCCTCAAAAGATTCTGGATGCTCTCGGGACTGGCCCCTATGAATCAGCACGAACGCGTCCTTTTGGGTGGTTGCCTCAAGGTGTTCGGCTGTGCCTAAGGTAGAGGGAGCACCCACATAAGCCTAAAAATATTTACTAAGAGCCGGAAGCTGCTAAGTCTCATTAGAGGTTAAGGACTTGGCAGAACTAATGAAATGATGAATTCCTCCTTTTCTGGTCTGGAAAAATCTACAGGTCTCCTGTGTTCCCCAAGAGTTCGATGCCCTTTGATTAAAATGATTTAACTTTCATCTCTTTTTACGACCCTGAAATCAACATTTAAAAGTAGTCTAAAAGCAATCTTATGATTTTCAAACACTTTGGTGCCTTTTTAAATTTTCTAGAATTTTGGAAGATACATTAAGATTATGTTGTGTAAAAAACAAATTTTTAAAGATTATATTGGTGGAAAATTTGATGTATGTCATATATCAAGTTCCATATCATTGAACGTGATAAGGAAAACACTAAGAAATCAAAATGTAAATTAAGATATAAATATACAATTTCATGCAAGAAAGTCAAGCTAGGTAGGAAACCTAGCAAATTCAATCAAATATAAGCTATCTTTTAATGAAAAACAGGGTAGAATAAAAATGTTACATTGATAACGTTCAGTGTTGTTTAGATTACAGTAAACCCAGCATAATCACATACTGCTCAAAGGACTTTAAGTTGATATAAACCTTTTCGAAAGGACTATGGCAATACTCTACAGATTCCAAAAGAAATGTATTCATACTTTTTGATCCAGAAACTCAGGTATTGAAATTGATGCTAAGAAATAATTCAACCAAAGCAAGTAGCTACACACACACACACACACACACACACACACACACACACACACACACATTCACTGTCAAGTTATCCATAATATCTAAAAATGAAAAGTAATTAGATTTCCAACAACAGAAAAATGGTTTAGCACATCATGGCACATTTACTCTATGGTTGTGTTTTCCAATAGATTTTCTGTGTTGACAGAAATGTTCTATATCTGCATCATCCAAAACAGTAGCCACTAGACGCTACTGTGGCCTTGACTTGTGACTGAGATTGAGGAATTTACTTTTTTATTTTAATTTTAATTAGTTTAAACTCTGATCAAAATAGCCACCCATATTGGATAGTGCAGCTGTATTGTATATTGAAAAACAAAATGAAAATTGTAATAAAAAGGCAAAATATAAAAGAAACAAACCATGATATAAAACTATGTTTTACATAAACGAGATACAAAAACATAGCTACATGGATATAGAAAGTAAAAATGGTTAAATATGGAACATGTAAGTTATTTTTGATAGCGTGATAGGTAAGTAGTGATACATTTTACTTGTTTGAAATCATCTTTCATTATTTTTACAATGTTAAAGCATCCTTAAAAGATTCTATCACAGGTTGGAACTTCGAATCTTATGGTACGAAATTCTCGAATACGCATTCGATTCACTAATACTGATTTATAGAGTCAGCCAATGGAGTGTGTCATTAAATGATCCTAACCTTCTTTGCCACGAGAAAAGAGATAAGGAATCGGACTCTTCCTAAGCTCCTTGTCTTAAAAAATAAGTTGGAAAACATGACATGGTCCACGAAAACCAAAAGCCAGAGTATCTTAAACTACTTCCACTGAAATTACAAGGAAAGAGAACAGAGAGGAAATGATGGTGTTGCTAGGAAGGCCCCTCTGTTGATGAAATAAACAACGGATAGAAGGGTTCGAAGACCTCTTCATCTTAGAATTTCAAGGGTGGGGGTGGGAGCTGCTGTGGCTTCTCACCTCCATCTTCCATTTCATAGATACCAAAGGCAGAACTTCCAGGTCCCCCCCCCTCCGCTAAGCCCACTGGGAACAGCTAGCTGTGGTGAGGGTCTGCCTCGGAGAGTATTTCCACCGAACACGAGCAACGTGAACCCAGATTTACAGACCAGGCCTGCTTCCGTGGTGATTCCTGGCTGGTGAAAAGCCTG